ATCTGTTTAAGCATTTGATCTCTCTCTCTCTCTCTCTGTCTGATCTTGAAGAATGTTGGTTGTTATGTTTAAATTCAGGGACCCACGACACAAACTCCAATTAAACCACCCTTGCCGGAGGGCATAATATTGTAAACAAGGGGATGATGTAAGATATAATGGCACTTACCTAATCGATGCCCGCCAAAAACCTGCAGGTGCCTGGTCTCTGTCGGTGTCAATCGATTCAAGTTTAGTTCTGTCAAGTCTATAAACGCCAGCGATGCTACCTGCAGATGCACCCGTATACGCTGTTGTTATTCCCACATGCGAAAACGAAGTTCAAAGCGTCCCCGTTCGAAAACAAAAATGACACTTTTCCGTTGACGAACAAGCAACCACTTTCAATGACCTTTGAACAAACGCGCGCAATTTGAACGATGACACACACCAATCGACTCGCTTGGTTGCTTTCGCCCGACCGTACTGGAGAGGAATCCAAAACTACCCACTAATGCGTGAGAATAAAAATGCACCTGGTTACCCGCATTAACCCGAATCGCGAAATTTAAACTATATGTTTACCACTGAATGTGGCGAACCCGTACGATCTGAACCGAATATTGATCACATAATGTAGTAAAACGTTTTGTGTAAAATCACGCGGGAAACAATAATTATATTTTATTCGTAGCGAGTTAAATGACATTTCGAGTGTTTCCGGCTTTTGGAACTTCTTAAATAGTTACGTACCCAGATGTACCACTACCGGCAAAACATAAATAAAGTCAATATTGTTTTCGCACAATTAATACCTTGAAATATTGTATGAGTGCTTTAAAATGGAATATTCAAATAGGCATATAACCAGATAAAATTGCAATCATTTTATTAAGAGTAGCTAATTATGGTATAATTGACAAAACTAGTCACATGCATTCATTCATGAGGTTCATGCATTCTTCACTTAATAGTTTTTTATAAATAAATAGAGTGTTGATTTTTTAAACTAATTTAGCAGTTAAATAGAGCTGAAAGTTACGGTTTTAAATACCGTTTTCATAGTTGCAACACTGTGCAGAAAATTCTGACATTATTTTGAAATTTGACATGCGTCAATTTATTCGAGACGATTAAAAAAATAAGTGATTACTCATATAATCAGTACGTTTTAAATAGTGTTTACAATAACATAATCGCATTTAAAAGTATAGATGGAAGCATTGTTATTATGTGGTATTGTTAATTTAAGTGTACATCATTTTTGTTTGCTGAGTTGTTTCATGGTAAGTGATTCAATATCATTTTTGTGATCAATATTTTTATAACCTATTCTAATCGACTACGAGCTATGAGCTATGAAAAATTGCAAGCAAAGAAGAACATTGGAAAACCAAATTCCTCTGTCCACCTTGTGTCTGTGAGAGCTGTTTACACTATAGTGTTAAAAATATAAGGTTAGCCATGAAATTAAAAATCCATAAATTGGTCAGTCCCCATTCTTGAACTCCATGCCACCCCAATCTCGACAATTTAACCTAATTTCAGTAGATAGACAAAGCCAACTCGCCGGAGTGACTAGTTTCCTCCTCAGCGTAATGCGTTCAAAGAGAATATACACCGGTACCGCGACAGGGACAATTTACCTGTTATACTATTAATTAGAATATGACGCAAGTGCCGCGGCACGCCGCACGCCGCACACCGCACGCCACAACGCCGCACCGCCCGCGCCATGTCGCTGCCTACGCGCTCACCTTCCTAATTACACTCCGTCTAGACAGACGTCGCAGCGTCCCTCCTGTCGCCCTATTCAACCTCCCAACCCCACATCATTCGATAAAGGGACGGACCCAGTTACTATAATATTTTATCAAACACTGCCCTCTTATTCACAATTGTAACAAACAACATATTTCCCCTCCCTACGCGTCCCATTAACGCCAAATCCAATTCCCCTTGCGGTCCTTTCCTCGTACAAGTAGGATTCAAGCGGAAAGAGGACTAAAGTTAGGCCACTGGCTCGCTCACTCATCGGACAAAATGTAGTTAGTATTGCTTTATCTTCACGCTTGTCTTTTGTGTGGTCGTAGTATTGAACTATTCGAAGAAAGGGAACGCGAACGGATTACGCAAAGGAAAGTCACGTTAAAACTTATACATTGAATAATATCTTTATCATCAGAAAACCACAATGATGGGCAGTGATCACCAATTTCCACTTTCGTGGTTCATACATGCTTATATCTCGTTCGCGTAATACTTACACGTTCATATTTTACCGTTGTTTATGACTACGTTTTACGATTTCTCTCATGCCGCAATTACATGCAGAAGACAAAAAATAAGTGTACTTATTCCAAGTAGATATAGGTATCTAATATATTAGACCCTATTGAACTAGCATTGTATTGCAAATTATTTTATAGTCTATATCAATGTATATAGTATTTCTCCCGCAACTAGCTTGGTCAGAAGAAAGTATAAGGTAAACCGCGCTATTCACATAATATTTTGGCCAATGGCATCTGAAGATGAAGTGGACAAGTGGTGAGTCTGCACCACGTGGCCAGGTATCGCCAGCTGGAGAAGCTATTTCGGTGATCGGTGGCAGGCCCGGCAGACCGACACCAGACGCCGCCGCCGCCCCCGCTGCTCCCCGCGCTCCACCGACCTCTAATTATAGACGCACTGTGCATTCTTGTGCGAACGATGTCGAATTTTTGTCGAGTACGCGCGACCACATGCCGTTTGTTTTGGCCCCAGAGATCGCCGCAACCTTCGACCGTCGGACTTCATTCGGTTCACATCTGTCTCGCGGCCGGCCCCACTCGCACCACTCGCCTAGTCAGACGCGATTCCTACCTATAACAAAGTACTTTCAAATAAATGTAATGTTATGCCAAAATGTTCGATGAACCTATAATAAATTCAGGTGACTTACATAAATCTTGTTCGCACAGTCGTCAGTCGTCTTGGAACTATAATGCAAAATGGAAGACATTATGTTGCTACATACGGCGACATCGAAGAGTTTAATGAAATGTTAGAAGAATATAATGTATGTCTACGTATTGTTTTACGTAATCTATTAGGATACATACCTATTAAACGTAGAGCGAAATCTTTTAATAAATATCGAATTTTTAAGAACATGACCATGAAATTTGACACAGTTAAAGTAGATGTGCAGAATAATTGTTGTAGCTGTTTAAATCAATATGCATCAATGTTATTAAAACAAATATTAGATAAGCTAATGCCCGAATTAAATCTTACTTTCTTACTTAATATTATAAATGCGAAAGTTTTAATCAATGGATGGATGTGTGTTAGAATTTGTAGCCTTAATGGCTGGACCAATTTTGACGAAATTGGGTATAGATTTAGAGGATAGTCTGGAAGAACACATAGGCTACTCACTTTTGTGTTTTTTTAATCCCACGCGGACGCAGTCGCGGGCGAAAGCTATTTAATTATGAACATTAATGAGCATGTTCTCTTTGGTCTTATTGAATATGAAAAATTATGATCGAATTTCAACCAATAGGCGATCGCTAGTAATAAACATGAAACTAATAAAAATCAATTCGCTGCTCTTTTAAACAGAATTATTTTAAACAAAAAATGCCACACATCGGTTTCAGAGCTACAATATGCGTGACCTTCTATTCGCGTACCTATTTACAGTCAGTTTACTATTTGCCTTGCTCCCTCTTCAAATATTCAAAAGATCGCTAAAGTTGAATGACTCGGGCACGTGTAGTATTGATATTTTCCTTGCCTCGCTTTACATGAAGCATTCATTTCATCTAAATAAAAATACAATTGAAGGTGAATAGACTATAAGCTAAGTTCATTATGTTTTCAAATTCTTTATTCTGCAACTTACGTCTGAATAATTCAGTTCAGAGGTGCTCGAGTGGGAAAAATGATAATAGCAATATTTTATTCGGCACCTTGTGATCGCTGTGCTCGAATTGACGGATTCATCGCTGTAATAATTTGCTACGTGGAGCAGCTCTTGTTAGACGTAGAACCGTAGAGCTGTGGCTCGGCACTTTTTAACACACTACATAAAAGGAAGAGATACTCAATTCGTCTGCATGCTTAGTTTTTTATTATATTGAAGACTAATTCCTTATTTTCAACATCGGATCGTTAAAAAATATACACATAATCCTAAATATTACAACTAATCAGTGGTGAGTTGGTACCAACTTCCAAACTTAATTCATTAGCAACGATGTAAATATGAGTATAATGTAAAGATGCTATATTGTCGTTATTTAATAAAATAAAATAAAATAAAACAGAATAAAAATTGGGAAATAAGTACTACTTCATAACCTCTATTGAGAAAAAAGCCAGCTGATGTAAGATATTTTTAGTTCAGTTTGCAGTGAAAATAAAATGGTTCTCACTAAAATCAACCCTAGTATCTGAACTTCGCAAAATTTCCTGCTATCTTATCCTGGTCGTCGTTATTTTGTTAGAGGTCTGTTGGCACTGCGGAAAATAAAGTGTGTATTCTAAAAGTCAGTACCATTTTTTCCTTTATCGATATTCTTGCTTATCAGACTTGAGCAGACAAATGCTTATTGTTAGACATCCTTAATTCAGTATCAAAACATATCTGATAACTTATCACTAATGTTGTACGTATTGGTTATATTGTTCTACTATACGTTAAAGTATTTATGTAGATCATAAAACAAAAACTCTTACTCAAACGACATGAATTTAGCAATTCCTATTTGCTTTTTAATGTGCTTTTTCGATGTGACAAAGATGTGCCGTGTAGCCAACTAGGGTCAAACAAAACAACTTTGTTGCAAGTGAACGACGCAACTTCGCAAGAAATATCCATTTGGAACATTTTTTGGTGTATCTGCTGAGCGAGTGCTTTTATTTAAAGAATTGCAATTGTTTTGGATTGCTATTACGTTTGTTTTGAGAGTGGAATTGTTTTGGAGTGTTGCGTTCGTTTACAGTGTGGTGGTGGGCGGGCGCATGCACGGGCGGTGCAGTGCTGTTGTGCGCCGCGGGTGCGCTGGCGCGCCCGCACCTGCGTCGCCGGAACGCCGCTGCTACCGCCAACCCCGTAAGTCCACTCACGTTAGTACTAACATGTTCACTGGCGAACTCAGAATGCTTATATAATAACTAAAGATGACTTAACGTAGATTTAGTATAAAACTATACGTTAAAGGAGTCACGAATATACGGTAAATAGTAGCATTCTTACTAAATCTTTACAAAAATAAGAGCATTTTCTACCCACAGACGAGGACATCTTATTCTGATTTCAAGTAATGTAAAGCATATTGTAGAAAACTAATTTACAGGGCACATTAATCGTATATTTCATAACCAATGGCGAAAGCATCTTGTCCACACATACTATGACGGTTAACAACACAGTTTGGGACTTCTTTCTCTATGTTTTCTCTGTGTTAGACCAGTGCAATACAACAACCACTTAGTTAACAGTGAATGAACTGTAACATCTATGTCCACGTATCATCTGAATAGTGTAGTATCGAAAGCCAATTTGCAGTATTAAATGTCTAGATGTCTATGAATTAAAGTTAACTATTAGATGCTCAGAATTTTTTCTTTTTGGTATTTATTTATATTTAAACTTCCACAAAAAAAATCTATCTTGTATCAAACCAATTATTTTAATACTTTACTTTAATACTTACAATATTCTTTTTATTTGTTTTATCAGAAAGTTTTTTGTTAAAACATTTTTATTTTAAGTAAACAGGCATTAAAAACTTTAACTGCACCTCTAAATAAAAAGTAACTAGGTGAACATAGATTAGGACAAAAAAATGCTAATACTGTAATTTGTAAATTAAAAAAGAATCGAATTTTGCAACGTGTTATAAATTTTTATATTCTTTTAGGATTTATTGATCAGGAACAATGCTTTTGAGTCATTTTTTTTATTCAATCTAATATTCGACTAAAAAAAAACTAGCGAAAAGGTACACGGGACCTCCAAAGGTACAATTACGAAAACTATAGTTCTACCATAGTGATATTCTGTAACTTAATTTTTTATGTTATGTTATTGGGCGTTACGTACAACTCGTGTACAGCTCAATCATTGAGCAATGCCAACCGTCTCGTCTCACGAGCCGACAAACGCGTCATCGCTTACTATTACAATTATAGGTGCGCATACATAAACGAGACGGTGGCAGAATCGAGCTATGTTTGCATGTGTGCCCGCTAGCGTATACACATGCAGCACTACTCACTACAGCCGCGACAGGGCGACGCACACCAGCGCTCTCGCGAGCCCGCGCCGCAGCCCGCAACCGTCCGTCGCGTCGGATTGAACACACAAATGCAAGTAGACAGATTGTCGGTGTGTGCGTGCGCCCGATGCCGACGCCGACGGCACACGGCGCGCGCTGTGTGCGGCGACATCAGGGCAGTCGGGGCAGCCGGTGCACCGTCGCCCGCCCGTTCTCCCCGCTACGCGGCTGCGAACACCGCGGCGTCCGCGTCATTGAACAACAAGACTCGTTCGATGGCAGGCGTCTTCCTGCCAATATGAATAAAAGAGTTCTCTGCGACTCTGTTACAAAATACGCGATAGTGAAATTTATATGTTATCTCTGTTTTATAAATTATTTATTTTTATAGTGTTAATACATTTTAAACCATATTTTTATTTATTAGTGAATGATAGTTAAATTATTGTCATAACGCTTTACGGGTGTTATCTCCGTGTTTTGCCCTGTGATTGTTTTTGTTTTAATATGAAATATAAACTTAAGCATAACGAAATTGTTAAAATGAGTGTCAGTGTTAAAACAAGTTGAAGCTAAACATGATAGAGTGCGGACTGATTCGTCTACAACTAATGAAACCATCACTGTGTCCTCAACATCCATAAGAGCAAACCCTTTCATCTGTGAAATTTTGCCTAACTCCGAAATCGTGGACAACACTAATTCAAATAGTAAGTACGAGCATGGAAATCTTGACTAAAAACTTACGCCATACGATCAGACATAGTTCGTAATTATTACTTTAGTTATGTTTTTTGAAGCCAAGTGTTCACTGACACTGCAAGGGTAAATAAAATGATGATTGTTTGTACAATATGAGACATAGTTTGTGATGAGTCGATGCTGGCGACGGGCGGCAGGCAGCGGACGAGTGAGGCCCGCGGGCCGTGGCCGCGAGACGGCGGGAGCGTGCCAAGTGATAAGAACCGCGCCGATAGCGACGTCACGCCCAGACGTTGTTTGTGTGAATTTAAATAAATTTTCATGACAGACAGTTCCGTAATCACCTCTTGCTATAGTCGTGACATGCCAACTCGATAACATCTGCACAACTTTTGCGAATATTATCTTTGCCCAATGTAAGTTCCACTCTCAAAATACGCAAGCATTTCATATTCACATTTTGACAAGTAGACACAATCCACTTTAACAAAAAAATCCTATTAAAAATTATATAGTAGAAATCAATTATTCTAACTTCAATTAAGAAAACTAATACAAAGTAAATTATGTCAAATGAATAATTATTGACAAGTGAGTAAAATAATTTTAAGAGAAAGCAAATAACATTTTGAATATTTTTACAAACAAAAAATGACTAAATACACAAACATGTAATACAAAAATCTAAGAAATTGTGGGATTTTACTAAATATAGTCTGATAATTAGTTAGACACAGTTAATTTATAATTTTACAGATTGTTGGTGTCACTTTATCAAAATAAATGGTATTTAGAAATTAGGTTTAGATTAGATACCCAATTTTTCTCCACACTGGAACTACATATGTTATAGATACCTAATCCAGGTCTCAAAAGTTATGTTTCATAAGTCACCAAGGGGCGTGACTTTGTAAAGTTATGTTTTTTGTTTCTTTACACAGTGGTGTTACACTCTGGATGTAATAAATCGTCGGCTGGAAATATATAAATTTTAAGGCATTTTAAAGCAACATATTTTCATTGTTTTGTGAAAAACTAATATTCTTATTTGAAAAGTTATTTTAATGTATGAGAGGAGATGAATTAAACAGCAGTGACATATCAACTAATTTATTAATAAACTACCTACTTTATACTATATTTTTATAAACCTAAATCTTTATTTCTAGATACCTGACATTATTTGAGATAAGTAAACTTCTCGGAAACTGAAAAAACATGACACAGGCTAAATGATAAAATGTATTAAAATGTCTTACATATCTATATAATATGAATGAGTGACATTTTAAAAAGTCATTGTTGTGCAAATAAGTATAAAAGTAAACAAATAATAATACAATTACTCATAATTGAAAACTATAATATTCTATTAAAACATTAATACACTTCGCAGCATTAGCTAATCAATGTAGACTCATAGATGTTATTTGTCATCATCTGTATACGCATTTTCTCGCATCTTCTGGGTTTATTTTTTAAAAATAATGTTATATAAGAACAAAGTAAATATAAAAAGGACAAACTGAAGATTGGAGAATTTGTCGCACGAGTTACAGAGTTATTTAAGTGATAAAACACAAAAACATTTCTATGTATTTTGAGTAGTAGATTAATGCGCAAAAAATGTTTATGGAATCAAAAAATTATCTCTACTACTTCTGGCAAAAATTACTAGGAATGTAGATAAAAACTATATTCAGTATTAAGGTTAAGGAGAACCACATAAGTGAGAGCAGTGTGTTGTGACTTACAGATGCTCTCGGTGCAAGTGCCGGGGTGCGCGGGTATGGAGCGGCTGGGCGCGCCGGGGGGGCCGCGCCTACGGCACGACCACAGGCATCACCATTCCACATTGTAAGTACACCTAGTCTTCTACATATCTATTGCTAGATTAATAATTCATGGTATATAACCACCATGCTCATTCCGATTGTTGTGTTATAGTCCTTATCTAGAAATTCTTGAGGATGAAATGTATGAATGAAAAAAGTAGAATATGGCTTATGGTGAGGTAATTTTTGATAATAATGACATTTTGGACCTTACCATTCAGATTTTATTTACATATAAGTTTTGTATATTTTAATAATTTTAACATAACATGTTAATCTTCAAGTGTCACTAAGCACACAAACAATTTAAGACCACACAGTGTTAATAAAACATGATAGTCCATGTACCTATTCTCATTTACTTGCTCACTATCGGCTCATACGGGCATAAATGTAGACAAAACAATATAATGTTGCTGCTACAAGATAATGGTTGTTAAACATCAATTATTTATTATTGTAACTATGCTAACTTCATCCAGATAACTAATCTTTTTATGTATGTACTACATAAATACTATTTATATAAAAACTGATATGAAAAGTGCATAGCATATATTTTTCAATATTAGTTTTATGAATGTTGGTATCCAGAATGAGTGATGTATTTGTTGTAATCAATAGGGTATGTACAATGTTGCAGGGAATGGGAGAAGCAACAGAGGCTGCAGGCGATGGTGGGGCGGCTGCAGGAGATGGTGGAGCAGGAGACGCGCGCGCGGTCCGCAGCGGCGGCGGAGCGGCTCGGCCTGCCGCCCAGCATACGCCTGCCCGACGGCGAGTACGGACAGGACGCGCACCTGCAGCTGCGCGTGCCTTACCAGGTCCGTAAGTACCTTCTCTGCTACAACGTTATACTTACTTTTACTCATACTTATAGCATAATGGAAACCTCTCATCAATTTTAAGTCAGAATGTTAAATGAACCTGCTGTAATTAAATAGTCGAAGAATCGTGGGCAATTTTCGATACTTGGCTTGTGTTATGAAAAGCTTTTAAGATATTATTTTGGGTTTTAAGGCCTAAAACAAATCGACAGTATTTATATTCATATTTTTTTTTTTTATATTAATACTTTACTTGATAACTTCTGTCTGTAAACGCGTTTTGCCTATATTTATACACAGAATATTTTCGGTTTTGGTTTGACAAAGGCATACTATAGATTTGAACTGTTGGTACCAGTTTTCTAATAATATCAGATAGCTGTGACGCCACAACATAAAGAATATGCATCTTATTAATTTTAATTTGTAAATAATAAGGTGGCAAATGTAATATTGCATGCGCCTAACAGATATCGGCGTTCGTTTTCAGCAAGCTGAGCTGACGAGGAGCAGTTTTCAGCCGCCGCCTAACAAGTGCGTGAGCGACGTGCCCGAATGGGCGGGCGCGGCGGAGGCCGGGCCGGCGCGGCGCGCGGCCGCCAAGAAGGACGGTCTGCTGCAAAAGGCGACGAGATGGTGGGTGCGGATGGGCGCGCGGCCGCCGGCGCCCTTCCCTGCCGCGCCACCGCCCTGCGTGATGGTGCCGCGGCGCGCGCTGCCGCCGCCGCCCGACGCGTGACGCCGCCGCGCCGCCGCCCCCGCACCCGCGCCCGCGCCGCCCCCCTACCATATCACGCTTACATTCCATTATCGGGACGATCACACTCGCCGAAGTGCACCCGCGCCCCGGAGTATTATAGACTTGCTAATTTATTTATTTGGAACTCTCGGCCGCGACGAGTCGAACGCGTACCTTGTGATATGTGCGACGGGCCCGTGTGGTGACAGTGCGGACTGTGCCGACTGTGCAGACTGTGCCGACTGTGCATAGGACTGTGCCGACTGTGCGGAGGACCGTACAGAGAACTGTGAGCGCGACTAGTCTTAATACTTAAACGGTTCAATAATTGTTTCTATTGAAATTTCATGAAACGACTGCCCGCTATTTGTGTTGTAGGTGTGTATGGCGTAGCGTAGTGTGCGTCCGTGTTCCTCGCACTGTCTTTGAGTTTCGCAAAACTAAGACTGAGATAAAATAAAAAAGATAACAATATAAAAATAGTCTACATTGAAGTATGTTGTCTTAGGTAAAATTAATTCAAATAGAAACAATTAAAAAGTATATAATATTTAATGAATCTTTCGATTGTAACCTTCGATGATATTGTATATTGTGGGAAAGGTCAGTCTATGATATAGGAGGTAATATGTTGCAGTGTACAGTTTCATGAATAAGTAACCTAAAGTTTAATTTCTATCCAGCAGCTACGGATCTGTGTTTAAACAACTTTTATATTATTTTGTGACAATGTGTAAGATGATGCATATCAGTACAGTTAAAGCAAGGAATATTAATTTACAAAGCATAGTTACTATTTAATTGTAAATAATTATTGTCTCTAATTTAATATTAGATAAATAATGACCGAATGCCAAAATAATTGATGGTCATTTCAATTGAGTGTTGCTACATTCCATATTTATGTTGAAATATTTTCAATACCTTACTCCAGTCGGGCTGACCGCGCCGCGCCGTGCTCGAACGCAACTCGTCTCTGGTCAAAGCGTTGTCCCTTAACAACCAAGCAATATAACACAGAACGGATTCATTACCTGAACTTCCCCGCTATAAACTGCTTAGGAAGTTAGCTAATATTTATTTACAGATTATTATGATACAATAATCTTATGAAAGTAGCTTCTCTATAAAGCTACATAGATTATGAAGAAACTATGTTAGAACTTCTGAATAATAGTTGTGTTAGGTAAAGAAATTGTAAACTAAATATATTAGAAATAACATGAATAATATAACTATAGCTATTTGGCATTGAAAATTTATATTTTTTTATCATAGCCAAAAGTCTAAATCCTATGTATTTGGCGAAGCAACCGCCGATGTTATGTTGCAGCTATGTATTTGTTCAGTAGATCTAAATAGTTGATTCATATAATATATTGGAATATATTTTTAAAGAATTGTTAATTCTAAAGAATATAATAATATAATTTGCAATACATACTATAAAATTTGTTAATATGTAATGCAAATAAAAACTACCTGTTTAATTTAACTCATTTAAATGTTTCTTTGTAACCACATAAAATTAATTTATTTGTATGAATCATGTGAATTTTATTAAATGAATGTTTGTGTGTGCTTTTAGAGTGTGCGAGTGGCAGCTTGTGGATGAATGCTTTGTTTACTAAATTATTTAATTATCTGTAAACATACATTTAAAGAAATTCCTATGATTTATTTAACTGAGGGTTTAGCAATGGCTAAGAAATTATATTGATTCAGCATTTTTGATGATTTGTTAAAGAACAACTTGAATATACCCACTTTATTGTACCTTACTATTTTAATAGTGTTAAATTTATAATAAGTATTAGTGGAGCAGTCCTTGTACAAAATGCTGATAAAAATATAAAAGTTGTTTAAATTAGTGCCACAGATTAGATATTTAATCTAGATATCAAACAATATTCCATTTGTCATATTATTAAGTAAAAGCAGAAGCAAATTTTAATAATAAAAAAACTGCATTAAATTATGACCTACCAATAATGAATACACTGTGATTTCATTTTACTTGTAATTTATTTTTAGTACCGCTTCCAGAATGCTGTAAAAAGTACCACCACACAAATACATACAAATAATTTTTCCATCCTAGGCATTGAAAGTATTTTTCATGTCATTAGTGCATAATTCTCGTAATTTTAAAACATGGCGTTAATTCTATGCAATAAATCAGGTAGCTTGATTGTATAACATCTTTTATACTAGTATCTGAAGAAAGTAAGAGGCATTGTCTTAAGACACTTGTATACAAAAAAAAATGCCAAAGATATATTTTTTTAAGTACAAGTAAGATAAAAAAGAAGTAAAGATTCGTATTCGATTTACTATGGTACAGTACAAAATACTGCTGATAAACACTCTTCGTCTATAGAATGTTGATTTAACTGGATTTAAAATTTCTTTACACTGGAAGAAGCATTTACCTAGTTAAAAATATACCCTAAATAAATAGAACTATGATCAACTGGTATGTATTTTATATAGAAGGGGGCACACAAGCAATGGCTCACCTAATAATAATTGATCGCTTGGGGATGTTGATGAATTCAACACTAGTTAAATCACAATTGCGTGTTGACTAGTGTAAAAACACTTTTTTAGGTTTTATTCGTCGCGATGTTTCAATCTCCATAACATGTGAGGATACAGACGGAAAAATATATTGTTAAAAATAACAGGATGCAACACTAATGGAGGGTTACAATTGTAAGTATTTCTTGTACATTACATGAAATAGATAATAAGCAGAGTTCAACTGAAATAAAATATTCTGAGTGATCAAGTAAGTATAACATTTTTGTTCCGCTTAAAACCATATGCAATGGTATTTTAATTAGATGGGATATGGTATGTGCTATTGATAGCAATACATGGGTATCTTTATACACAAGCTGGATATTAAAAAGAAAAAACATTCCTAAGATTGATCCCAGGCATGACCAATGATGAAGAGAATCATAGCTTCAGTGATACGAAATTTATAAAATGCCTCCACTCTAGTGTTCGATGATGAGGGCTCGAAAAAGTTCAAGCCAGCTCTGTACCGTACATTTACTATTCTAAAATTAAAAGATGAAACAAATAAAACGAAAGTGCTGCCATCTTTCATATACATCTTTTATTACGATTTCTGATATTACAGAACTAACTGCTTTTTTGTATTTAAACGGGTGTGTGGGCGCGATCTCCAGTCGTCTACATCAAACCAATTAAACAATTTAGACATGGGGGAGTAAATCGCGAACTCCCACGCTAGATAAATGTGAAAACTTCCATTTAAGTTCTTATAGTTTTGACGTGAAATTTTAACTATAAGAACTTTTTTCGCCAGCCATTAAGCTATTTTTCGCCAGCCATTTTAATTTTAATTCTTACTAAATAAGATGACGGGGTTAATGTGTATGGCAAACAATATACATGTTTTTTTTAACTGTCGCGCTGTGTCAAACTAGTAAATTATAGGAAAATGGTAACACTGTAAAAATAGTTTCGCGCGTTTTTTACATTGCTTGGTGACAGTTTAGGCTGATTTTAAATCGGAATTTTAAATTAAATCTTGAAAAGTACTTCCTAAAGATTTTACTATATAATGCCAAAACATTTGATTTCTATCATAATTAAGAACCGTGTCAAATAGCAAGAAGATTAAAATTGTTTTCCTTATTATTGAATAAAAATGTTGATATATTTGTCATGGTAAGTTTGACATTTTTATTTTTTATTAGACGAATACAAAGGATTTTGTATGTTCATCCACGGATACTTAAATTGAAGTTTTAATTGCGCATTTTATTTCGAATAAGAAAAAAATGTTTAATTCACAGACTTATGTTATTTAATTCAATCTGTACTATTATAAGAAAGCTTAACTTTTGCGTATAAAAAAAACAGCCTGTTGCTGTTGCAGAGATTTGTACTTGTCAGTGTCACTTCTCAATTGTCAGAAACTTTATTCATTTATGCTTAATATTATTTGATGTGATGTATTTAGTTTTAAAAATATCTTAAATACAAATACAATCTAAGATTTGACTAACTGCAGCATTGCCATTTTGTTAGACATCAACAAATAATAAAATTCCTCGTAATAATAAGTGGTCAGTGATAAAATCATTGTGCAAGATGTTAAAACTGTAAGAAACAGACATTTTTTTGAAAAAAACATCAGGTAAGTTACTTTACTATTTTGAATTTGTGAGATTAATTTATTACATCATTTTGCAACTATTTCAAGCTTCCGATTTTGTTTTAAAGTTGCAGACATGGGACCACCAAAGAAATTTAAAAAATATGATTCAAAACCAAGCAGTGAAAGATCAGGTATTTAACATTTTACACCATCCAAAAAAATGTATCTAGAATGTAAAAATCACTCATCTTACTCATGAAGTACACCTCTATGTGGTACTATGTCAATTTAAAATAATTAAATAGGGCTCATAACAAGTATCAAATTAAGACTATTCCTTTGTGTATATAATGTATGTAATATTTAACAATTAGGAAAGAAAAAGAAGGTGGAAGAGGACATTACAATAGACTTGGTAGATGATGACAATACAGAAAATGTAGGAGTGCCTGTAGCTGCAACACAGGATGCTGAAAAGAATGATCAGGTTCCTGAAGATGAATTTGGTGCCAAAGACTACAGGTTATTTAAACAAACTTTTATATCTTATTTCACCAGTTTTACATCTTAGTTGTATGCTTTAACAACAATTTCTGGTAAAATATTAGAAATTTTGTTTGTAATGTTGGTCGCTATTCTATCGTATATCATGATTTTCAAGTTATGAGAAAATGGAGAATATCCATTATTAAAAGGTCATAGAACTTTTTAAATTGTTGAAGAAATATTTTGTAATGTGTAGTTAATATTTTTTTTGTTATGTAGAAATCAAATGACATTAAAACCAGACAACACCAGTCGTCCATTGTGGGTCGCTCCAAATGGCCACATATTTCTGGAAGCCTTCTCACCAGTTTATAAGCATGCACATGACTTCTTGATTGCTATTGCAGAACCTGTGTGCCGGTATGTATATATTTACAACTACTCACTTATTGTATACACATTTTTATTAATTTCAAATACCCCATACAGAGCTGTTGAAGATGAACATGTTTAGTGTAGAACCATTAAATAACACAGCAAAATTCTGAAATGATATTTAAATTTGTAACAGCATCTTAAATCAAGAATTGCATTGAGTTTTTGTCAGATTTTAAGTGGTGCACATGAAGCAAATTGTAGATTAGTTTCAGTATTCAGTTGTAAGTGCTACTTAGCTTTTTAAAATGTCATATTCTTAAAAATAGAGTGCACAGTCAAATAAATTTGCTATTTTCAGACCTCAACACATACATGAATACAAGTTAACGGCATACAGTTTATACGCCGCAGTGTCGGTCGGCCTGCAGACTATGGACATTATTGAGTACCTGCAGAGGCTGAGCAAATGTTCCGTTCCTGCTGGCATCATTGAATTTATTCAGCTTTGCACATTGTCTTATGGAAAAGTTAAACTCGTACTAAAGCACAACAGGCAAGTTTTTGTTTTACAATTTTTACGTAATCTTGACGTGACGACTTAATATCTAACTAGTTTATGTAGAGGAGGGGACAGACTTATGATAAAGGGGGTAATAGTAAAACCTACCTTTTTTTTTTTCAAAAAATTGCTTAAACTAGGGATTGAAGACATTTTAGTATTTTGCAATAATTTGTATATATCTATTTGACACTTTGATTCTCTAAAGGGGCTGCCCCGTGGTGACGGCCATGAATATTTGTAGTTGATTTGTTCAGGTACCTAGTGGAAAGTAAGCATGTGGAGGTGCTGCAGAAGCTGTTGAAGGACCCGGTGATCCAGCAGTGCCGGCTGCGGCGCGACGGCGACGACGACCTGCTCTCCTCCGCGCTGCCCAGCAAGCCCGCCTCCACCTCCGCCTCCGCCTCCAAGCCCGGTCAGTACACTATATAAACTATGTGATAGTATTATAAAGTGTAATTTTGCTAAGTTTGTATCAATTTCACAATAATTTAATTCACCAAATGTACATTTAATATAATTTTGTCATTTATTAAGTTGGTTTAACATAATTTTAACTAAGAACACTTTTTTTAATCTTATAAAATGGTAGACGGCAACTTCATTCGACGAAATAGTGAAGCGACCTCCTCGCAGACATCTGCAATTGCTAATGCATTCCTTTGATTAACAGAGGAGAGGACACACAAAAACAGGATATTTCCCCTTCCATCAAATCCATATGTTAAAGTAAAGAAACATTACCATAAGTAATGCATTTGATGTAATTGTAATCAATAGAAGAGAAGCCGCTTTCAAACGACGTAGTGCCGGAAGACATCAGCCAGTTCTACCAGCAGCTGGACAAGGACGACGAGGAGGAGGAGACCACCGACCTGGCGGCCAACACCGCCGTCGCCTTCGAAGTCGACCCTGATAAAATTGAGGTACCCACTGTCAAGTTTGTACATTTATAGCTGTATGAGGTATACTGAGAAAGATAAAAACATAGTGCATTTTTTAATGTGAATTTCTACATTTTAGTCTAATTGCAAACATACCGTAATGTGTTCTGTTATGTCAACAATTTTTTTTTATTTATTCACTCCCTAAATTAAATAGCGTGAAAATACATAGACTTTAGTGAGAATGTAGTCCATTTTATTAAAAGAGGAATTATTTAAATATGCTGTGATTGGTGACATCCTATATAAAGTATGTGTTTACGTTTCATTATATTAGTGTAGTGTAGAAATGGTCAAGGAGAGTACTCCTGACCCTCGGGAATCAGGAAAACATTCGAAGAAACAGAGATAGTCTTTGGTATATTTTTACTAAGAGGATCGACCATTCTCGTGTATTGGATATATTAGGTTATTTAATCGTAGTGTAACAATGTTGTACTCAGGTGATACAAAAGCGTTGCATAGAGCTGGAGCACCCGCTGCTGGCGGAGTACGACTTCCGCAACGACAGCGTCAACCCCGACATCAACATCGACCTGAAGCCCACCGCCGTGCTGCGCCCCTACCAGGAGAAGAGCCTGCGCAAGATGTTCGGCAACGGGCGCGCCAGGTACTCTCACACTCTGTCTGCCAAACAGTTAAATAATATTACTGCGAACTTACATTCGGTTTTAATTTAACTGTCATACTTTTCAACTGAGTGTAGACAAAAAGTTAACTGAAAAATTCAATTGACAATTATAACTTACTTGATTTTAACTTAATTAAAACTATCAGAACTGAGAGTGTGTATTGGGCCTTTTTAAATTAGATTTTAAACATATGTGGGTGTAAGCAATATTTATGTTTACTGTTGGTTCCTTTCTATTACCGAAACAGTTATTGTATACGAACATATTATTTCAGTTTTGTTAGTAAGTAATAAGAGGCATGTTTATGCGAGCATTTTCACAATAGCCTGGTTCACACTTGACACTCGTATGATATGCCTCACTGGCACCTGTTAATACATACATTATGTCTCAGGGGCTCAGGAGTTTGAGCACTTGATTTGTAATCCAGAGGTGCATAGGTTCGAATCTCGCCATTTCTTAATGTGTTTTTCTAATTTCAATCTAACTTCTAATTAATATTACAAATGCGAAAGTTTAGATGGATGGATAGATGAACTTTGGTTAGAGTTTGTAGCCTAAATGGCTAAATATATCTCGAAATTTGGCATAGACGTAGAGGGTAGTCTGGAAGAACACATAGGCTGCCCACTTTT